AGACGCAGATCCCAGGTGGAGAGTCAGACTTTATCTCCGGGACGATAGACGGTAGACCGGTGGGCATCTGCGTAGGTCTTATGTCTCTGCACTGGCTGCTGGAGTTGGACATGAGTCCCAAACTCTCTCGCTCACTCGGAACCAGTGGTCTACAATTGGAATGTCGGAGGGTTCCTGTTCAGCGGAACAGAGGGTGTTGGTAGCCGAGTATGCACTGGAACGGGGTGAGGCCGGTGGTGGTTTGCTTGAGGGAATTCTGTGCATACTCGGCCCACAGGAGGAAGCGGTTCCAGCTGTGCTGGTTGTCATGACAGTAGGCCCGGAGATACCTCCCAATCTCCTGTATCTTCCACTCAGTCTGTTCATTAGTCTGGGGGTGATATCCTGAGAATAGGCTAGGCGTGGGACCAGGGACGACTGGGGATGGGTAATGGGACCAATTTTCCGGCAGGCAAGTGATGTGGAGTTTTGGAAATGACACAGACTGAGCATCCACGAACATACTGGGAGACATCCCGGGCCATACTGGGCCACCAGTACCGAGCTTGGAGGAGCGAGAGAGTACGGTGGATGCCTGGGTGTCCAGAGCCCGGGGAAGCATGAAGGGAGCCAAGAAGGGTATAACTTAAAGGGGTCATATGATGCTATTTCAAAGATCATTATTTGGTGTATTTGGTGTAACAGAATATGTTGACATGCTTTAATGTTCAAAAAACATTATTTTTAAAATACTGTACATTACAGTAGGTCCTCTATGCCCCGCCTCTCTCAAACACGTAGTTTTCAACAAAGCCCCCTCCTTTGACAAGCGCAGTCTGCTCTGATTGGCCAGCTGACCCAGTGCATTGTGATTGGCCGAACACCACAAGCACGCGTCAGAAATGTAACTCCCCTTACCATAATCGTGAGTGTCAGCTATCAAAGTAAATATCAAGACAGTTAATAATGTCCTTAGTTTTACCATCAGTAAAAAAAAAAAAGAAACTAAACTCTGAAAGGGCAACAGAGTCGCGTGACAGACACAGCGATGATGCAGTACACAAGCCGCGGTTAAGACAGCTGACATGTTATGATTTCTGACAGGCAGTTCACTCTCCTGTGATGTGACCCTGTTCCCCTCACACACTACTTCCGGAAGGCCAAATAAAGTGCTTTTGCTTTCGCACTGAAATACACATGACTCCCTGACATGGCTGCATCAACACTACTGCGTTCATGAAACCACGCCTTCTTTCTTTGCGTGCACATTTGGGCGGCATTATGCTAATATTTCCACATAGTGATGTAGATATGTGGGGGCGTCTAAGAATGAGCCGTTTTAGGTAGGCGTGGTTAACTCTTAACTTTTAAAAAAGAATATCTCTTTGGATTTGAGACTTTAGTCTTTGCAACTTTACAGATCTTCTTTATGCACCAAGAGCTTGTAACACTCCAAAGAGAAAGGAAAACTTGAAATCGCATCATATGACCCCTTTAAGGAGGTGGGTACATAGGTTTTACCTTCTGGGCCTCCCAGCGGAGCAGGTTCGGTCAGAGTGGCGAGGCGGATTTGTTCATCCAGGGCCCACCGGTTGAGGTTAATAAGGATGGCTGGAGGGAGTATGGGTTCAGGTGTGGAGGTTTTGTCGGGGGCATGAATGCTGGAGAGTGAATCAGCCTTGGCATTCTTGTTTCCTGGTCGATAAGTGATGGTGAATTGGAACCAGGTGAAGAAGAGGGCCCAGCGGGCCTGTCTGGGGTTTCGTCTCTTGGCACTGTGGAGATATTTGAGGTTTTTGTGGTCCGTGATGACCGTAAAGGGGTGTTGTGCTCCCTCCAGCCAGTGCCGCCATTCCTTCAGCGCCAGCTTGATGGCGAGCAGTTCCCGGTTTCCGATGTCATAGTTTCCCCGGTGGGGAAAGCTTCCTGGAGTAATAAGCGCAAGGATGGAGTCGGGGAGGCTATGTAGTACTGTGACAGCACTATTCCCATGCCGGTGGTGAAGGCATCCACCTCTACGATGAACGGGAGTTGGGGATCCGGGTGTGTGAGGATGGTAGCAGTGCAGAAGGCCTCCTGGAGCTTCTTGAAGGCGGCTCGAGCTTCGGGGTTCCAAGACAGAGACTTGGATTTCTGACTGACCATGGAAATGAGGGGGGCAGAGAGGATACTGAAGTTCTGAATGAATCTACGGTAACAATTCGCAAAGTCAAGTCAAGTCACCTTTATTTATACAGCGCTTTTAACAATACAGATTGTGTCAAAGCAACTGTAGAAGATTAATTAGGAAAAGAGTGTGTCAATAATGCAATATGACAATTCTGTAAAAACTCATTTTTCAGTTAAAGGCAGTTCATCGTTTAATTCAGTGATGTCATCATCCAGCTCAGTTCAGTTTAAATAGTATCTGTGCAATCAAGTCAACGATATCGCTGGAAATGAAGTGTCCCCAACTAAGCAAGCCAAAGTCGACAGCGGCAAGGAACCAAAACTACATCGGTGACAGAATGGAGAAAAAACATTGGGAGAACCCAGTCTCAGTCGGGGAGCCAGTTCTCCTCTGGCCAGACAAACCAGCAGTTCAATTCCAGGCTGCAGCAAAGTCACATTGTGCAGAGGACTCAACTGGTTCCTGTGGTATTGTCCTGGTGGCCATCTAGGAGACAAGGTCTTCACTGGGGATCTGTCTCTGGGGCTCATCAAGTTGTCCTGGTCTCCGCTGACATTCAGGGTTGTAGAGGTTCTCTCTAGGTGCTGATCCACCATGTGGTCTGGATACGTACTGGATCCAGGTGACTGCAGTGACGATCTGATCTGGTGACCTCGGAATAAGAAAGAAACAGACTAATATTAGCATAGATGCCATTCTTCTAACGATGTAGCAAGTACATCGGGTGTTATGGGAAGTGTTCCCGGTTCCAGTTGACCTAATTATTGCAGCCTAAAAATCCTTTAATGTATTTGAATATTAGAAATGTGTTAGTGTAAGTCAGGTTAAAGAGATGGCTCTTTAATCTAGACTTAAACTGACAGAGTGTGTCTCTCCAAGCCGAGGAATCGTTGGAGTTCCTTAACAGACTGTGGTTGGGGCTAGTCACAGATGGATTGGACCTTCCCCTGGTCCATCTGAATGCCATCTGCGCTGAGGATGTAGCCGAGGAATTGAACCGTGGGGAGGTGGAACTCACACTTCTCGAGCTTCAGGTAGAGATGGTGCTTCCTGAGTTGGTGTAGGACCTGCGTGATGTGGTGGCAATGTTCGGCCAGGTTCCGGGAGTAAATCAGGATGTCATCAATGTACACTATGACAAATTTGTGGAGGAACTCCTGGAACACCTTGTTCATAAATCCCTGGAAGACGGACAGTGAGTTGGAGAGGCCATATGGCATGACCTGATATGCATAGTAGCCTGAGGGGGTGATGAATGCCGTCTTCCACTCGTCGCCCTCCCAGATACGAACGAGGTTGTAGGCGCTACGCAGGTCCAGCTTCGAGAAGATGCGAGCCCCACGGAGTTCCTTGAGGGTGGCCGGGACCAAGGGAAGAGGATAGGGGAGCTTGACGGTGTGTTCATTAAGGGTCCGGTAGTCGATGCATGGCCGCAAGCCTCCGTCCTTCTTGCCCACAAAGAAGAAGCTTGAGGCCGTCGGTGAGGTGGAATGGCAGATGAACTGTTGTTGGTGAGCCTCCTTGATGTACTCCTCCATTGCCTTGCGCTCTGGGATGGACAGGGGGTATACTCAACCTTTAGGGAGTTTAGCTCCAGGCAGCAGGTCAATGGCACAGTTCCATGGCCGGTGCGGTGGTAACTTCGTGGCTGCCTGTTCGATGAAGACATCCTGGAACGCCGCTGTAACAACATTTGTAGGTCGGGAAGAAGGAGGCGGGAACCGGTGAACATTTCAATGAACTTTAATAATAAAATAAACGCAAAACAGCGCGACAGCCCCTCGCGGACGACTGTCGCACACAAACAAAACCAAAACACAAAATAAAATCCAGGCCTGGTCCTCTCTCGTCTTTCACTGTCGTCACTCCTCCTTTGTATCCTTCCGGAGCTCCTCCGTGAGACTCGAGACCGGTGAGTGGTGCAGGTGTCGCGCATTAGCAATTACTCCACCGGCCTCGCTCCGTTCCCACGGCTCTCAGCCCCGCCCCTCTCGTCACAGCCGCATAGTCAGATGAGATCATCGGCACCTCGAGAGGTTCGGGGCTCTCCACTAGGGTGGAGTGAATGTGGAGACTGGGGTTCTTAACTTGGGGCACCGGGACGTTGAGAGACAGTTTTGGATACAAGCTTCACTCCATCAGAGGATCTCGCTGGAATCCCATCTGACTTCGGGTGAATGTTGTGATAACCAGGGGTGTCCCAGGATGATATCCATGGTGGGACCCTCCAGTACCAGAAAGGAGATTATTTCCTGATGTAGACAGCCCACTTGCAGAGTGATCGGCGGAGAACGGAATTTGATGTACCCACGCCCAAGCGGCTTTCCTTGTATGGTCTCGATCTTAAGCTCTTGAGCCTGTCTCAGACAGGGTAAGTTGAGCTGTCTTAGGAGGGCTTGTGAGATGAAATTGCCTGAGGACCCCGAGTCCACGAATGCTGACACTGAAACGGAATGATGTGGGGAGAGTAGATATAACAGGCTGTAATTGGAGAGTACTCACTGCTGGGCGTGGGGGACGAGAGGAGCACGTCTTAATGAAGTGCCTCGGGATTCCACATTATAGACACAATCCCAAGGCTAGATGTCGAGCACACTCCGTGCGTGGAGAGCTATGAAGAGCGAGCTGGTGGATAGGCCGAAAATCTCCATGAAATGGCAAGAGAAAGCCTTGAACGAGTTAATTAGTGTGCTCTGCGAGTTCCAGATAGCTCGTGCCCAGAACAAAGCCCGTCTGGTTAGCAGGGAGATCAGAAAGGCCACTTTAGAATGTTCATTGGAAAACTTATGGGATTGCATCTCAATATAGAGAAAAACTTGAAGTAGAAAACCGCTACATTCAACCGCCTCACCCGAATAGGTGGTAGGGATGGCCATGGGACTGGCAGAGGCAGACAGAGGGTGTGTGACCGGAGAGAGAGCTGCTCGAACAGCGCTGACCAGCTCTTTGAAGGGGTCCACAGCCGCGGGGCTCGGGAACGCCAACTCCAGTCTTCGGTCCAGGTCTGGTCTTCTGTCAGCAGATATACACGGGACACAGAGGTAGGTGAAATACAAACAGCAGGTTTATTGAACACAGAATGAGGAGAATCCAGGTAAGTGAGCGGGGAATAGGAAAGTCTCTTGGGTCTTATCTGAGTGATAACGTCCTTTTCCTTTCCAGGTATTCTGAGGGAGCGATGGAGCGGGGAAATGGTGGAGCACAGGAATGGTGGAGATTGAGAAGCAGATCGTTGGGGCAACTGGCAGGTAAGTAAACAAAGGTAAGGGTCAGGTAAGTCAAGCATACAATGTTTGAGACCAGACAAGTGTAGAGTGTAGTTGGTGGAGACTGAGATGATTGTGGTAACTCCCTGACAATAACATTATCCAGAGAAACAAGTGTTAATGAAAAATCCCCTGTGATGTTTGTACTGGATACTGTATACAGGCCACCAGGGCACCATACAGACTTTATTAAAGAATTTGCTTAAGAGTTAGTGCTGGCTGCAGATTAATTGTTGGTGATTTTAATATCCATATTGATAATGAAAGACATGGACATTCTGAACTCTATTGGGGTTAGACAACACGTGTCAAGACCTACTCATTGTTGAAATCATACTCTATATTTAATACTGTCACATGGAATTGATGTTGAAATTATGCAGCCAAGTGATATGATATCTCAGATCATTATCTAGGCTTGTGCAAACTTCATATAGCTAAAACTGTAAATTCTACTCCTTGTTACAAGTATGGTAGAACCATCAGTTCTACCACAAAATACTGCTTTGTAAGTAATCTTCCTGATTTATATCAATTCCTCAGCATATCCAATACCTCAGGACAACTTGATTATGTAACTAAAACTATGAACTCTCTCTTTTCTAGCATGGTAGATACAGTTGCTCCTTTACACTTAAGGAAGATTAAGGAAAACTGTCTGACACCGTGGTATAATGAGCACACTCGCACCCTAAACAGAGCAGCCCGGAAAATGGAGCACAGCTGGAGGAAAACTAAAATAGAGGTATTTCGTATTGCTTGGCGGCAGGGCCAGACTGGGACGCAATTTCAGGCCAGGAAATCTTACACTCAACCAGGCCACACAGAAAAAAAGGGGCCAAAATTGTACCTTTTGGGGTACAACAGCATGACACCGTAGTAGTACACTGTACATATTAGTACCTTAAGAGTAGTAATTCGTACCCTTAAGGTACTCATTTGTAGGCCTACCTATTAAGGGTAAAAAAGGAACAAATATGTCCTTTTAAGGGTCCTGTTCCAGTGACAAGCTGTTGTACCCCAAAAGGTGCAATTTTGGCCCCTTGTTTCCTGTATAAAGCCTATAAATCCACAACAATTTCTGAAACCAGACAACCCTATTATTCATATGGCCATCACATTAAAAAAGGTCTAAATACTTAGTCTGGGGCCGTGGAAAATAATTAAAGGTTCTCTCTTGCACTGCACCTTCACTTCCCTTTCACTTATCTTCATTTTCCCCAATATCTCTGCCTGGCCCCCCACCCCCCTTTTTTTCTCACCTGTCACTTCTATGATAAAATAACTGCTTCCGATTAGATTATATATGTAAAATGCAATTTATTCCTATGATCAAAAAGCTGGATTTTCAGCATCATTACTCCAGTCTTCAGTGTCACATGATCCTTCAGAAATCAATCTAATATGCTCATTTGCTGTTCAAGAAACATTTTGAACATGTTGTTGTTATTATTATTATTATCAATATTTAAAACAGCTGAGTACATCAGGATTCTTTGATGAATAGAAAGATCAGCATTTATCTGAAATAAAAAGCTTTTGTAATATTCAGTATAATAATTTTTTTTTTGGGGGGGGGATGGATTATAGAAATTATTACTTTTATTTAGCAAGGATGCTTTACATTGATCAAAAGTGATGATAAAGACATTTATAATGTAACAAAAGATTTATATTTTCAATTTATATTATACAGCAATTACCGGGGTTCAAGCACATTAAGGCATTTCAGGTGGTATATTTTAGGGTCTAGGCCAACCTGGATGTATGGCTGACAGTAAGACACATCCCAAATGGATAATATGCTCTCACACACACACACACACACACACTGAAATAAAATGATTAAACTAGTTTATTAATACTCAATAAGCATACTTAAACACAGAGACACAAACACAGACATACATGCACACATTTTGTTCCAGGTATATAGATATTTGAAATAAATGATAGGTGACACAAAACTTATTGCAAGTCTTCTCTTTTTAAGAGTGTATATGTCATTTTCAGGTTTCACTGTAATCATAATCTGGCATAATTGTAAAAACTGATATGTCTGTACGAACAAAATGGTAAACTTGGACTCAGTGTGATTTTAAATGTTATAACAGTGATTTTATAATATCTTAGCATGAATTCATAAGCTAACCTATGAACAGTACTGTTTCAGTGCATTTAATGAGCCCATTGTTGGTCTTTCGCTGCCATCTAGTGGTTATAATTGCAGTTTCTCATACAACACTGCATTTTTAACCTTTATAAATATTATAGTGTTATTTCTTTTGCCCAATCGCTTCTAAATTTTACATGCTTGTTTAGAATGAAATTATGCATCATTTTACACAGTTTAGAGAGATATTGTGGGCTTTATTTTAGGATTTATAGGCCTTTGGGTACACTATGTAAAGAACATATTATAAAATGACCAGTTTATAGTTGTCCAAATGCAAATGTTCAACATTTTTTTTTATAATTATTGACTTAGAGAGTCTAGAGAATATTACTGCACTGATTTGATTGATTTGAGTTAAAAACCGAGGAATAGTTCACAAAAGTAGATTTTTTAAATAATCTCAAATATTTAATGAACAGTTTGATTGGCAGCATTGGTCCCAGAGGTAAAGTTGTTCAGAATGAGATCTATCATATGATATGAAGATCTAGTGTTCATGTAAATATATGAGAATTTTTTAGCAATTTGAGGACATTTACCATAGAAATCTTGTGTTTTTGAAGCTTTTTTAACTGTTATAGCGCCACCTATGGTCCGATCTCCATGAAACTTTGCGTGCTTGTTAAGAGTCATCTGACACATGTTTTCAAAACGTTTCATAAAGTTTTGAGTTTTTGTTTAGGTTTTATAGGCTTTGAGGTATATTTGACCACGCCCCTTTTATAATGACCCCGTTATAGGTAAGCGAAGGACAAAATTCAAAATTAGTTTGATAATTATTGATCTAGAGAGATCAGAGAATATTACTGCAGTGGCTTGATCGAGACTGAGCGAAAAACCTAGGACTAGTTCGCAAAAGTATTTTTTTTAAATAATCTTGAATATTTAATGAACGATTTGATTGACAGCATTAGTCCCAGAGGCAAAGTTGTTCAGAATGAGGAGATCTATCATATAATATGAAGATCTAGTGTTTGTGTGAATATATGAACATGTTCTACAATTTGAGGTCATTTACTTCAGAAATACTGTGTTTTTGAGACCGTTTTAACTGTTATAGCGCCACCTATGGTCCAAATCTCTATGAAACTTTGCATGCTTGTTAAGCGTCTTCTGTCACATGTTGTCACCAAGTTTTGTAATGTTTTGAGTTTTCGTTTAGATTTTTAGGCTTTTGGGTATATTTGGCCACGCCCCTTTTAAAATTGCCCCATTATAGCTAACCAAAGAACAAAATATTTTTTTTATATAATTATTGATCTAGAGAGTCCAGAGAATATTACTGCAGTGGTTTGATCGAGATTGAGCAAAAAACCTAGGA